AATAGGGTAGGAAAATGTTATCATGTATGTATATTCTGGTTCAATCATTATAAAATGAAGCAAAAAATATGGTTTTATTGTAAGTTTTTTCCCCTATGTAAAATAGTTGATGAAATCACACTATTGACTTGAGACTCAGATTTACAGCTCTCTGTGAGTTTGAGGTATGGGTGGTATTGTAGCACCTAATTTCTAATTTATAGCTGCAAATTCTATTTATAAGACCATACTATCTTTTTTTGTCTTATGAAATGTAGAGTTAAAAGATTATAGCCAGTTTCATGCAGCATCTCCAGGCAGGTGGTTATTTGAAGAAGATTTGGAAGCTGCTATTAAATTGAGAGAAAAATTTCACTGTTATTTGGATACTTATTTGCAGTCTTAAACATTTAGTCTCAATATATTTAAAAAAATTTTTGCAGAACCAAGAATGTATGAGAAATGTTCACAAGAATTCTTAATTTATAATGTTCCACTTTTGCAAGTTCTAAAAAATGTATTTATAAATTACCTATTATATGCAAGTATCTAAGGCTGTGGAAGATATAAATTAACTTTTTCATTGAGTTTTTCATTCAATAGAAATTTCACTTACCTGTCTGATCAATAAATAATACAGCTTTAATATCTGCGTTGTATAGGCATCTGAAAGCAATGTCACACACTGAAAGAAAATAAGCCAATTCCTAGCCTTCTAAAACTCAAGTTCTAATAGGCAGTACCAAATAAAGAAAACTCTGGTGATATCATGATTGAATTTGTGGAAATTGAGTAAAATATATCAGTTTTGTCTGGGATGCTTTCTTGGGTTATGCTTTCTTGAAACAACATCAGGAGGATAGAGAATGAAGAGGAGAAGAAGAAGGTGAAGATGCACTGAGCAAATATCTGAAGCAGTAGTGACTATGAATTCCCTTAATGTCTGAATCAAATCACATCTCTCAGAAGCTCTGAGAACAAAAGCCAGGATAAGGACCAAGGGCAAAGCAGACAAAAACAAAACAAAATAAAAAAGGCATATCCTATTCAAATACCAGAAAATCACAGTTAACAATTTTTTTGTTAACTGTATGAGCCAAAGGGGGAAAAATAGAAATACTTTATAGAGAAATAAGGGAAAGAATTTCGTGAGACTTCCCAGAAATCACTGAAGTGTGAAAAGAATGGAGTAAAATATTTAACTGTTTGAGGAGAAAACAAAAATACTAACCAGCCTAAAACCGCATCCTGAGACACTGTCCTTCAAAAGTGAAGGTGAAGTTCTCTGACAAAGAAAAACTGATAGAACCCACTGCCAACAGACCTGCCTTGAAAAATTATTTAAGGAACTTCACAGAGAAAGAGAATGATAAAGATCAGAAGCTTTGATCTGTATAAAGGAAAAACGACATGGAATGAAACTTAAAGGTAAGCTAAAGAGTTTGGTTTTTTGAGACAAGGTCGCACGAGCCAGGAGGCCTTGCACTCCTGTGTAGCTGCACTGGGGCTCGGTCCATGATGTTTCACTCCAAGGTTGGAAGGCCTGGTGAAAGGCATGACAGAGGAATGCTGCACTCCTTGCAGCAGTCAGCAGCAGACAGAGAAGTGAAGCCCAGGAACTAGGATCCACCCTTCCAGGTGTCACTAGTGGTCATTCCCAGACCCCTGAAGAACACAGTCAGTCATGAACTGAATCAATGAATCCATTGATGAGTCTAGTGGCCCCTATGAGCTAAGCAGGCCAGGCTGGCCTAAAGCTCATGATCCTCCCATCTCTGCCTTTTGAGTACTTTGATTACAGATGCCCAGCTAATAACTTAAAAAAAAAAAAAAACCCCAAACGATTAGTCTAACAATATTCAGTAATAATAGCAGCCATGTATTTAGTCATAATAGCTTACAAGTGAAATGGAAGACCAACCCAAGGCACTGAGGGAGGAACTAGGAATCTATTGCTACTATAATGTAGTTGAATTGTGCCTGAAGGATACAAATGTTATATGAAAGTGGATTTGCAATGCAAATTTTGGAGAAACCACTGAGAACAGTGCAAGACGAAGTATAATTGATAGGTCAGTAGAGAAATTAGAACATAAAATGTTCACTTAAAACAACGAAAGAGAAGGGGTCAGCGGCACACGTGCCTGCCTGGCAAGCGCAAGGTCCTGAGTGTGATCCCCAGTACCAAAAACCAAAAACCAAAAGAAACAAACTAAAAGAATGAAAAAGTGGAAAAAAGAAGGAACAAAGAACAAGAATAATAAAAATTAGCAAGTGTGGCACATACTGCATCACATCAAATGTTAATGGCCTACATATGTCAACAGACACTGCTGGAGGTGTTCAAGAAACAAGGCTGTTTCAAAAAGTCCACTTTAAAGACAGTGACAACAAAGAGGATGGAGAGACCCTACTAACACTACGCAAAAGCAAACAGGACCAGCAGTGTTAACTCCAGACAAGCAAGTGTCAGAGTGAGTACGTTCAGTAGAACTGTGCACCCTGAGTCGTAATCTATTTGGGCATGCATCCAGGAACCACTGTGCTGTAACTAAAATCCTGACCCTTTTATCTGTCTCCAAAGCATGCTGTTAATTTTACCCAGTAATTACTGTTTAGTTCCTAAATTCCTCAGTGACTTACTGGAAGAAAACAACTCAAATTTTTAGGTAGAGGCAGTTATTCAAATTTTCTATGGTAAAGATCTTTGTAAAAAAGAATAAAGGATACTATTAAACAACTACCTGACAACCTGATTTGGGTCGAAATTCAGAGCTATGAGCTGTGCTACTTAAATGACCTTACTTCCTCTGAGCTTAATCCTCAAAATAGTGTTTTTAATAGAGGGTTTTTGTGATAGTAGGAAATCATGTCTATAAAGTATCTGTCATGTAGTGAGTGAGTTACTCTAGGAAAGAAAATGGGACTTACAAAAACATTCTATCTAACTTTGTTTAATTTTTTTTCATATTAAATGCCTATTTGTAGTACTTGGGGTTGAACCTGGCCCTTTTAAATGTTTGAGACAGGGTTTGACTGAATTGCTCTGGTGGAACTCAAATTTTTAATCCTCATGTCTCAGTCTCCAAAGTGCTAAAACTACAGAGATAAACCACAATGCCAGGCCAGATTTCCCACTGTTTAATGGGAATCATAAGAAAGTCTACCACCAAATGTTAGTGACTACATCAGTACATTCACACTGTGCAGAATTCGTTGTGTGATTGAAGCATCTCTGCTATGCCAAGGTTCACTAGTAAGCCATGCTTTTAATATGACATACTTGTAGAACCTTTGCTTATTTTAATATGTGCCTGAGAGCTTAGTATTCATCTACTAAAAATAAAGCATACCAAAATTTCCATGTATGTGAAAAATTAACTTATTTGCATACTAATTACCTGAAATTAGTTTCTGTAGGTGCAGGGAAAAAAGAAGAAATACATTTAAGGTGAAACAGCCTCCACATTACCTGTTCCATCCACAGCATCTATGTAATAAAACTTAATTTCAATATAGTCAATTAGTAAAGGGTCAATATCATTTTTGGAGAGGATTTAAACATTTTTTATATAGTGAAAGAATTTCAAAAAGTTACTGAAAAACTTTCTAAAATTACATTTTTCTTGACTGAGAGGACATACGTGGAGATTCTCTGCATGACTTCTTGCTGATCTGGAGAATATGGAGGTTTGTGCTTGCCCTCAGCTGTGCCTTTGAGGAAGAGGTGTACGAAGAGATACAGAAAAGAAGCACAGCATCAGGCTCATCAAGGTTATAGTCACCCCGGTGAGCAGGGATGGCATGTCCAGCCTACACGCTCCTGTCCTTAGTAGGTGTCCCTAAGAAGTGACTTAGCAATTGCCTGTGTTTTTCTGAGCATCAGGACATGGAGGCATCAGGGATGGAGTATGGGTGATATAACAAGGGGCAACCGTTACCCTGCCCTCACCCCATTGCTGTCCACATGCTTTACATGCTCGATTAATGTGACTCTTGCAACATACATATGAGGTTGCTAGTACGGTCCATCCAGTTCCACTTAGACAGTAAAAATGGGGCAACGCACTTCACCTCAAGTTCATAATTTAGTAATCAGAAAATGTGAGTTAGAAAGGAAAATAATATGAGTCATTTGATCTGCTGAAAAGATTCTACATTAGTATTTCCCATCTGAAAGAGATTCTCAAGAGTTCCAGGATATGTGTGATGATCCAGGTTCAGTAAGGTATCTGGTTGTCACTCCCAAGTTATGATGCAAGAATCCCACGTTTGTCTATTTTGGTCATCACTGTGGGTAGGCATGAGAAGATGAAGTCCCAGTTGACCTACAGAGGAAGATGGAGTCATCACTGCAGACAAAAGTTCTGGGCCAGTTCTTAGTGCATGACTGTGGGTGAGTCACCAAAATGTTCTGAATTTAGCTTTTACGTGCAGAAAAGGTCAATAATGTGACTTCTGGAAAATAAAATGAACATCTTTTATGTTAACTAATACAGACATATGCCACTCAGGTGTTCACTATTCAGGCAGGCGGTCAGTTTATGTGTACTTTGTGGGATCTGCAGCAGTCATTGGTATTTTATAGCTGACATTAAGCAAACCTGGACAAGGCTTTGAAAGACAGTAGGTCTTGTGTCTTCAGAGGGTCTCCTTGGGCTGCTTGTAGTACAAGGCTCAGGATGCCGCACAGCTAACCACAGAGACCGGTCCCTCCTGCTCACAGCAAGCACATGTACAGGTTAATAAAAGGTGTGGCTGGGGCAGAATGGCAGTGCAGAAACAGGGCATTCCCAAAGGGTCTTAGCCATTCAGCTAGCATTTTATTTTCACTTACATGGCAAAAGCCAAAAGTAACTTTTGAAGCTAATAATCTTATCTTCAAAAGTTACTTTTGGCTTTTGCTGAAAGAAGTAAATACTAAAATGAGTAGGACTGCATTAATATTATCTCTGTAAATGTTTTAACCTACATGCTAAAATCCAGGGAAGAAAACAAAGAAGTAGTACAAGGAAAATAAGTACTTCTTTTTTATCTTTTATTTGATTATTTTCATTTACAGTTCTGGCACTGACACTTTTTTTTAAAAAAATCTTAATTTTATGTAAAGATTGAACAATAAAATAACTTAAAAAACATTTACATGTATATCACTAAATCTCCATAAAATATACAATACTTTTGATACAGAAAGGCTAGGATGATTTCAGGGAATGGTACATATTCACAATTTTAAAGAGAGAATCCAAATTATCGTATGTGGGAATAAATACATTGAAATTTGCCAAGACAGGTGAAGTATTAAACACTATGTAACATGCATTCAGAAATTAAAATACAGTTTGAAAATACATATATTTTAAAAAGCATAAAACTTTCGATTTAATCTAGATGTACATTAAAGCTTCTAAATAGAAATTTAACATTTATAAAGAATAAAAGATACTATGACATCAAGTGAGATACAGTCCAAAAGCTGCTAGGAAACAGTTTGGATGTGCAGAACATAAAATTGTACTTTAGCTAATTAACCCTGATATTTAACCTTTAAATGAGAAAGGAATGATGTCACATTTTATTATATTCTTAAACTTTGTGAATTATTGGTTTTGATTTTAAGTGCTATTTAACATCATGTTCTTTTTCTCTTTTATGCTGATATGCCAGAACCAAAGACATGAAATGCTGTCTAAAGTATTACTGGTATTACTGGTAAACAAAGGTATTTTGTAGACCAAATTACTTAAGTACAACAGACTGTATTTTATACATGTAAAGATTTATGAGAATTATATTTTTATAACTTACAAGCTAATTATAAGGCTAAGATACTTTACATATTTCTGAATGTTGACTCTCTTACAAAACACTTCTCTGATGATTATTGGCACAAAACCTTTCTTTAAAGACACATGAAAGAGTTGGTAGCAGTTAGCTGTTTGGCATATTTGAATGATTATTTCTGGACAATAGCAGTAGTATTGCTCACCCAGAAGAACTGAATATACGGCAATTAATATGTTGGTACGATCTGAACCACTTTATCAAATTAGCTTAACATTATGTACATGAGGCTACGAAGGCTGTTAGAAAGTGACTGAATAGAGGACACTAAAAGCCAGAGAACAATTTTGAAGTTTTTTTTTTTAGTAGGCAGCAGGCCTATGAGGGGTGAATTACCCCAACTTAGTAGCATTTGCTCTAAAGCAAATATGACTTTCCTGCTTCTAGGCTGGTTGTGCCATCTAATGCTTTTATTTTTAGTTGGTAGAGTAGTCCAGATCTAGTAACTGAAAACTTATTTCAACAACTGAAAAAAATCATGTTAGAATAATTTATAGAAAATAGTGCAAAAATCTGATTATAATCATTCTTAATGGTGCTGATTATATCAAATCACAACAATCTCCCACCTTCCTCTTCTATTACAGATTTAATGAATTAGTAATTAAATTGTGAGGGTTTTTAAGGTAACGTGGAATTTTCTAAAATATTCCATCTTCTTACCTCTAGAATCTATGGACTAGTGGAATACATTTCAATTTTACTTTGCCATTAAAGAACAAAGAGTAAGTTCACAAGTTACGTTTTTCCTAATCATCCTTCTGTTTATCAGATACTGAAACTGCCGTAAAAATTTGATAATTCTTTGCTTTGATAATCTATTTTAGAGTTGGTAACTTAATAGACTGCACTAAAATCTAGATCAGTGGTAAATTATGAAAAAGACTTTAGCATCACTCCTGTAACACTTTCTCTCAGCAAACCACTAACATATGACTGGGGACAAAATTTCAAATGAAGCCATCTTACACAGACTTTCTATATATAAAAGTGTTTTAGATAATGAATAAGGTGCAACAAAATTATTAGCAATGCTTACATAGAAGAAAAATATTAACAGCAAGCCTTATGACATCACATTCAGCACTATATGTTTATATGTAGGAAAAATGGTATCTTTAATTTTAGTGGTGACCATCCAGCTAAGCCTCAGAAGCACACATGACGCTTTTTCACTATATTTTCCTAAAACAAAATATACTTCTGTTGAATTTGCAGCATGTTTAGAAGGAAACCTGTTATTTTAGTTGATACTTGGTCTGTGTCTGTTGTAATATGGCAGGTCAAATCACACCAAATACAAATTGTCTTATAAAATATATATATATATGATAATATCTCAGATGGGATGTTTTCAAGTTTATAGTAGCCCAAAACACTGAAAACATAAAAGGTGTATAATATAAAAAAACTGTAATATTTAAACTTTAATTTCTAATATACTACAAATGTTCCTTTTCACATAATTATTTTTAAAAGTTATAAATAATTCTTATACTGTGCCTTTCTGTCTTTTACTTCAAACATGGGATATTATTATAACTATATAAATAACAAATAAGTCTTTTAAAGAAGGGGCTGAAGGGAAAAGGGCAGGAGAACTGTGGCTGGTCTTCCCTGGTACTATGTGCATTTACGGATATAAAGTTGGAAATACTGTGTTAGGTCAGGGAGAACAAGCCATGTTTTGCTCTAGGAAATAAACTGTTTAGTTGCTCCTTTAATAAAGTTACTGTGCACCAGCCCAGCTGAGTGTAAGTATATAATTAAGGCTATATATAGAATAAGAGAATTGAGGCATTTATTTGAACAACTCAGAAAAAGTTTTTTAAAGAGAACACTGCTCAAAATATTTTTCTCCCCCATAATGTGATTTTATCACATAATAGCTCATTTTCATTTTATCTGTTAAAATATTACACAGATAAGAAATTTCTTACAGATAAGAAATACCAAATAATTTTCCTATTAGATTGGTTTTCTGGGGGAAATCAACTGTCAAAGCACCTAATACAAGGAAAAACTACTTTCTAAAACACTAAATTTGTTAATATGAAATGATTAAATGGAGATTTTTTTTTTTGGTTGAAAGGTTTTTAGGGTACTGAAGTGTCTGCTTTAAGTATTTCTGGGAGGGAGTAAGTTTCCTCAGCAACATTTTTAGCTTGCTGGTTGTGACATGAACAAGCCAAACTTAAGAAGAACAAAACATCTTGGAGGCTGGCAGAAATATTTTGAATTTATCGAGAGCCACATTTTCACCCCAAACATGGTATGCCAGTAGGTTTATTCCTAACTGGCCATAACCAATTTACTCATATTTTTAGTAAACTGGCAATGTGAGCAAGTAATTTTGTATGTACTGCAAGTTCTTAACAGAAGGGCAATAAGTAAGTGTTTAGTGACACACAAACACAGAAACCGGAGAAAACACTTTGAAAACACAGTATGGAAATGCCGTTTCAGTAAGTCAGCATTATAGACATTAGAACCATTTATGTGTTCCCAAGAAAAATCTCAATTTTTAGACAAAAACTAAGCCAACCATGGGCTAACGGAAAAAGATGAGACAAATGTAAGTGTCTTTGATTTTTGGTAAACTGTCAGGGAAAATGAAAAAAAGATGTGCAAAATAAAAATTAGTTTATGTTGTTATAGTAAACAAAGACAAACACAATTACTAAAATTTTTTGATTTCCTTCACAAGAGTTAATAAAAAAAGGAAAAGTAAGTCCATGATTTTAATACAACATTGAGAACAGCAGAGCTATTTCTGCTATTGATTTCCTTCCTCTCTCATTTCAGAAATTACTGTTGGATTAAAAGGGAATACTAATATGCTAGCTAGCAGCTATTTATATAACACCAATGAAGGCACAAAAGAGTAGGACTCCAGAGCCAATGAAGATGCGAGTTTGTCATAAACAAAAAATGACCCTGAAATACAGACAAAGTCCTGGCACTATTTTGCATTTACAACTGCAGTTCTGAGCAGCTAATGAATTAGGGATCTATAAAAATCTTTTCTTTCTTTGACAATAAAATATACTTATCAAAACTTGCTAGCTTATCTGTGCAAATATACTTACCACTGATGCAAAGAAGGTATGAAAATAATCCCTAAAAGACCTGCTTTCAATAATGTTCAGAAGATCCTAGTAGTCAGTCAGTCTCTGAAGAACTTTTAATATCTGAAGTGGAGAGAGAAGCCAAAATGTGGAAACCAAAGGAGATAAGGACAGCCGTGCTCTTTTAGAACATACTTTTGAGTTTGGTGATGAAAGCTGAAATGGAATTTATTTTCTATCAGCTGACCACAGATAAGCTACTAGCCATTTGAAAAAATTCAGGTGAATAGGCTTTGTTTTGACATAAAACACCCTTGGACCAACTTGCAGAATCCTTAATATACAGAATTTTGGCTAGATTAGCAGTGTCCCTTTTGCCACTAATGATGTATGTTTTTGGAAAAAAGGGTACCACTGAGGTCACTGGGTACAGTATTCATTTCAGACTTGCTTCCGAATTATTAGATTAAAAGTTCGATTTTTTTTTTACATTTTTATGAAAAAAAATGGTCAGGGTTGCATTTCTTGTCAAATATTCTAAAATTGGAAGTCTTTTGGAATGAGCCTTGAGAAGGACTGCATCAGGAGGAGGGCAGCAAGGTTCCTGCTGCTACCTCTGTCCTACACTTATCTAGGTAACTACGTTATTCCACATCAGAAGCATCATTGTCGGACAGATGATAGTTACTTCCCTTAACCCGGATGTATTCGATGTATCTTCCTTCATCAGAATCCGAAGTGCCACATGTACATAGCCTATTGTCAAAGAGCGATTCGATTTCCTCTAACTTTTTCCCTTTGGTTTCGGGAAGACAGCCATAGACGAAAAGAAGTCCCACGGCTGCAAATCCGGCATAGAGGAAGAAGGCGCCTGCAATGTCAAGCAGTAAGCATTGAACACGCTTGAGTGGAAAGGATACCTGACTTCGATGTCTTCCCCCAGTCCAGCATGCAATAATCATGAAATAAGTATGAAATGGGACCATATTCCATCAACCTAGTCTGTTCTGAAGGTTCTATCCCTGTGAGTATAATGCAAATCATGACTATCACTCAAGAGGAGGAGGTCAGGAGAAATTTACCTTAATTTCCCAAACCAAGAACAAGGATGACACCACAGAGTTAATGCTTGAGGAGAGTACCTGGTAACATCATTTTTCTAGTTTGTCAGGCCCAAAGTCTGGGAGTCGATCCTGATCTTTCTCTTACCCTCACACCTAACACCCAGTTGGTCAGGAGATCCTGTTGTCTATCCTTAGACCATAACCTGAAGGTCATGACCTTAATTCTACCATTCCTGCAGGCACCTATGTTTAAGATCCATCTTCCCTTATCTATACTGCTCTGCAGTCAGTGTCCTAACTGACCTTTCTCTTAGATCTGCCCCTCAACTAATTCCTTAAGAATGCCTATCACCAACTAACATACTATAAATTTTCTTAGTTTGCTTCCTGTTTTTCGCCAGTGGAAAGAAATGCAAGCTCTGTGAGGTCACAGATTCTCTTCTGCTGTAAGATTCTGTGTGTCATAACCAGAGGTAAAAATACTATCTGCTTGTGTTCTCTAAGTGCTAACACAGGAATGTGTGGCTTGTCTTCTCTACATTACTTCCAAGGGGAATTTTTCTTTATAATCCAGTTTACTATTTAACATGTTCGTGAAAGGGCCATGATTTGTATGTCTTTCTGCTGGACAGCTCTGACTGAAACCCTGCTGGTGTATGTATGACTGTCCCCTCAGGGACTGTAAGCTACCCTACAAAATAGTCACGTACTTTCTAGCTGTGGTTCAAGGCAGCAAAAATGTGTTCAGCACAGCAAGACAACCCACACTTTTACTTTGATGGTAGAGAAATTACTTTGATGATAGAGAAATTACGATAAAGGAGTTTCTGCTTGCTTTTAAGCCTTCAGTTTAGATCAGTGGTGGCAAACCTATGGGCACATATGCCGCAGTGGGTTACTGTATCTGAGGAAGCTCTAAAAGGTTTATTGCTGTTCTAAGTCATGCCGTATGTGACGTGGAATAAGGAAGATGAAAAGCTATGTGACAAATGGCTGGAGAAAGGATGTCACATGAGGGAGGGGAAGGTCTGGAGTTCGTCTTGGCAGTGTTCTGGACAGTCATTTGACTGCCTTCCTGGGCCTTAACTTCCGGTAGTGAAATAAAATGAATTCTCAGCTAGTATTTAAATGCTGGTGATTTCTGATTCTATAAATGATACAGCTGAAACCAGAAGTAGGACTGGAGGGTTGGTATGCAGATGTTAGGTAGGGTCACGTTCTTCTGTGTCAGCCAAGTCCTCTCCTTGGAGCAGAAACTGTGGTAGCTTTGTCTTTGGTTTTTCAGGGAATAGTACCGTGTGTGACATGCTGCGGCTACAGCACAGGTGGGGTGTTCAACCTTTTAGCTTTCCTGGGCCATAGAGACTGGAGGGAAAGGGTCTTGGGCTGCATATAAACTAAGAAAGTTGAAAGCCAGCCTGGGCTACAAAGTGAGTTCAAGACTAGGTGAATCTGTATAATGAGATCCTGTCTCAGAAGACAATCAAACAACAACCAAAAAAAAAAAAAAAAAAAAAAAAAAGACAGAAGCAGACAACACGAAAACATTTCCAACCTGAACTTTAAACTGCTTATACACATGTCAGAAGAACTGAATGCTATTTCTCAGTTCAGCTGAGAAAACAGCACAGTAAGGGATGAATAGATAAGGACTCCTTAGGAATCTGCCTTGGGGAGACCTGGTTCATAGTACTGACCACAGCTTGTGTTTTTTTGTGGCCTATACTTGAAAAATCAGAAAATATTATGAGGTTATCCAGATGCATGGCCCAGTGTGACAAACCAGCTCCACAGCTCTGGAGAACCCGGCCCTGAAAGTCCCAGGGATCATGACACCAAAGCACGGACTGCTTCGGCAAAGTTTAAAAACTGGGCCTGAACTTCATTCCCTGATCTGTGTCACAGGAAAGTAACTCCTACACTGTTCTAAGAAGAGATAGAATTATTTTGCATGCCTTTTAGAGTTTTGCATGTTAATTCTTCAAAAATGTGACAATCAGCACAATCAAATGCTGACTAGGGAAGGAGAGTTGTTATTAAAGATAGAATAGGATTAATATTACATAATTAGGAATATTTTCATGAACATGGATGACATGAAAAGCTGGAACTTCAAGAATAGGGTGATTTTGACAAGTGACAAGGTAGATAAAGAAAGCAAGGTCTGGCGGCAGACTGTCAAAAACCAGGACTAGAGCAGAAATGGAAGCTTTGGGGAGGAAGGATAAAGAAAAGGAATGTTCATGATGACACAGAAGAAAGTACAGACTTGAAACATTTTAGACTAAACCAGACTGCTAACCCACAAGAATCCATAGAAAGGCAAACCCTGTTTGCCTGTATAAAATACATATTTTTCATCATCATTATCTTTCATAAGTTTGGAATGGCAGCATAATGGGAAGCAACAAAATCTGTCATTGATAAGCTCTTACAGTAAAAAAACAGATCGCTGGGTTAGGAAAATTCTTAAAGATGACACATTCTCTGTAACCCAGATTCCAAACCCAAATAACCTCAAAGGAATTCCATCAAACTACAACCCTTGTAACAAAATCTGAGGAATCCAAAGCAGGCAAAGGCCCAGACTGCCTGCTAAGTGTGGGTCCCCATGAGGTCTGTGGCTATGCACAGGGGTGCCTGGGCGGCCTGCTGTGTATCATGAGCAAAGTGGTGACGTGGCTCACTTGGTAATTCCTTCTCATAATGAAAAAGTATCTATAAAAAGTGTGTCACAGGACTGTTAAGCAGTGCAGCTATTCCTCAGAAAATAAATCTTATTAGAGTGCTATATTAAATTCCAGATTAAAACAAATCTTTAAATTACACAAATTGAGGAATCAATGACCACATATGACTGAATTTCTGTGACTCAACCCAGGACCTTTGATACAATGCTCTCCCTGGGCCTTGTTTAGCTATTTATGCTATGTGTAAAGAGGTGTATTAGTGATCCTTTAAAACTTTTACCAGTAGACATCACTGAACAATGAATGATGTATAAAGGAAGCCTATCCATGAAGTATAGTTTAGGAAGAATTCAACATCTGGAAGGAATTTATCCAAGTCATGGGTGTTTCCACTGAAGAATACCAACAGGATGTATACATGATAAGGCAGGAACCCAGATAGACAGCTTACATAAAGCCATAACAGGTAGATTAAAATATCACACACAAAAAGGAAAACCTCACCGGTGCTGAAATATTCTCCCACTCTTTAGAGAACAGCGGACTGATGGAGAGAAGCTTAATGTGAAGTAAAATGCTGCTACTGGCTTTATTTTTTGAAAAAAGGAGGCTTATGCCCCATTTCAATTTTGGTTTCATTGCCTCCTTTTTTTTTGGTAGAAGACAGCCAAGAAAGAAGAGCCTCGCTACCTAAGCTACTGCACTATGGACTTTTATTATTTGGCCTAGGAGTTTCTATAAAAAAGTTTTCTTAGGGTGTTGGCATACATTTATATCTTCAAACACCTGAGCATTCTGATGGATTGGCAAGAAAGTAATTATTGTGTTCATATTTACCTGCATGTGCCCATGAAGTTCATGAATTTATTGTAAAAATGTTTAGGAATAAACTGAGCATTCTAAATACATATCCAGGTTAAAGTGCCTGTACACTGTCCATTCTAAAACAACAAACATTTTTATGTGTTCTATGTGGTGATTAGAAGAGTTCTAAAAGGATAATAAAAACATTAAACAGTATTAACAAAAAGCAAACACCAATTTACCATGTCAGAAGAGAAATTCATTTTTATAATGTTTTCTGCTATTCATCATTCTTCTGCAAAAATCTGTCCATGTATTTATTCACCAGATAAATACTTTCAAGTTTTAGGCCCTGGAAGGAACGAGGAATACAGTGGCAGGCAAGGCACAGTCCTGGCCCACAGGGAAGGTGATGGGGATAAGATAAGCAAATCTGTTCTGCAAAAGCAATTTGAGGAGAGCCATGCCTGCCAGGGAGAAAAAAGTCAGCGTGTCCTGAGAATCCACCATGCTGGCACTCAGGGAACCAACCAACAAAGCAACCAGCCAGCCTTCCTGGTAAGCGGCATGAGCCAGAGAGAGAAAAAGGTGTCTCCAGTGAGCCTACCAGCACATGGGCTAAAAATCAAATGCCCCCTCCCCCATAAGCACCCGGATGGTTCTGAGAGCAGCCGGAGTAGATGGCAACTAAGGTACATAAAGCAACTAAATGTTTGTAATGTTGGGTTGATTATGCTGACGTAGGGCCAGAGGTCTGAGCATCTCTTGGGAGGATGACTGTATGCAATACAGCAAATATGGGAGATTTCCTTCTGTCTTGTCTTTGAAGGCCAATATTGTTTTCACTGTTTTGCTTTGTTTTGATTAACTGTTTTGCTCTATTCAATACCCTGTTTTGATTGGTTTTATAATGTTGTTTTTGGTTTGATTTTGCTATATCTGGTGGAATAGAGAACTATTGTGAAGATAACAAGATACTATGGTAGCTGCTGTTGTTTTCCTGGTATCCTGCCCTGAAGTTCTGAACCAAGTTTGCTGCATTATCTTGATTGGCTTTGTTCTGTCTTGTTTTTGTTGTATTTTACTATCTCTAAAATTTAAAAAAAAAAACAAGAAGCAATTTGAAGTATCCAGCACCTGGAGTGAGGGGAGGTGGGGCAGGGCATGAGAATGGTTCCCTAGAACCTAAGCAGCAATAGCCCACAGAGAGGCCTTTGGCAAGACAAGGATGAAAATGTCACGCCATCTGGTAGACTCTCATTGAAAGGGCACAATTACAGAACAGAAAACTTAAGAGACATTTTACAGTGAAGTTAAACATCAATTAGTGGCCTATGACTAAACTCCAGCTGCTTGTCACATAGTTTGGCCTGCTAAATTCTGACAGCCTTGACTGTCTACATTCAGCTGCTTCTCCCTGATAACACGCTGGGTCAGTTCTACTGTGTTCAGCGGCAATTACCTAGCAAAATATGCATTATTTCCAACTTGCTTAAGGACCTCATGTTTGGGACAGACCTTCCTAGTCAAGGACCCATGGAACTCTACTTGCTTGTCCCAAACCCCTCCCCTTCTCCCCAGGAATCTACTTGGGACCAGTTTGCTTGACAACACATGATTTAATTCATGTAACCAGTCATGTAATAACCTGCCATCAGCCTTGTACTTTCTGCTCGCAAACTGTATTTAAACTGAACTCTAAGATGACTCATGGTTGGTAATTTGGAACTGATTCCCATCAGCCTGCTAGCATAATAAAAAGTGCATTCTAAATCCTTGGTGCAAAGAATCTTCCATTAGGTCTGATACTGGTTTTTCTGCAACACTACTACACCAATAAAATCATGTGGATATGACAGAAATGTTTTTTTTTATTTGTTTGTTTCTGTAAAACTGAATTTGAAAGTGTTTTTCTAACCCAGCAGTTTCCCACTATTGTGTATTTTTTTTTTTTTATTTTAAAGAGAGAAAACAATAAAAACAATGGCACAGAATTTCACAACATGAGACAGGGATATAGCTCAGCGGCACAAGCAGCTGTCTGGCAAGCACATGATTCTGAGTTTGATTCCTGGTACCAAAAAATTTCATAACAATGTAGGAAATTAACAATAGTTAATATATTGTGTATTGTTATCTTCAAAGTAGTTGCTCACATTATAAGATACAGGCATGTAAAACTGATCAAACAATATAAGCATAAACAGTTCACTTGAATGGACTAAAAGAAATTAATAGTATAACTATCTTAGCTATCTTGTGTATGTATATATTACTGTTTATAACACATATATAAGTAAGTGTTTTTTTTTTTTTTTTTTTGTCTTTTTCCTTTTTATCGGTACCAGGGATCGAACTCACGACTGCCTGCTTGCAAGGCAGGCACTTATGCCGCTGAGCTAAATCCCCAGCTCCTAGTAAGTGTTTCATTTATTTCAAGGAATACTTTATCAAAAATTTCAGTTTTGGGTACTGATGGTATGGCTTGTGCTTCTTCCTTGAATTGTTGTGTCCTAGAGAAAAATTATTTCCATTTTTGGTTTATAAGACCACAGTAATGGTTATAGTACAAGACTGTTCATTTAAGGATTTTGTTTTCTATCATGTTTACCAGTGGGAAAATAATTAAGATAATAGAGAAATGATTGATACTAGTTGTCCAATGAAAATGTAAGGAAAGTCAACTGGCTGACCACCAATTCATGTAAGGATAAATGAATTTGCTGCTAAAATTCATAGAAGGTATTGGCTGAGGGGGCAAAATAATAGTTTTCATAGGTGTAAAACTAGAAATAAGGTTAGGATTAAGACTGAAAATACAAGGGCTAAAATTTATCCTTTGTGGCCCAAGTATTAGCATTGGAGCAGATGAATGCATATGCAAAAAAGAAGTACCATTCTGGTTTGATATATAAGGGTGTATTTTAAAGGGTTGGCTTGTGGGTAGTTGTCTGGGTCTCCAAGGAGGTCAGTGGAGAATAAGACTAAAGATAGTAAGGTTAACACTATGAATATTAACCCTAAGAGCTAAGTCCTGATGGATTATTTGATTTGGATTTGTAGAAGAATAAAAGATGGGCTATGATTAGGACTGTAATAATAAATGGAAGGATAAAGTCATGTCAGAGTAGCTTTATTAACTGAGGACCCATCTCAGATTCATCCAACTAGAGTTGTACCGACACAGGGGATTGCAGATAGATGATTTGAAATTACAGTAGCACCTCACAATGCTATTTGTCCTCAGGGTAATACACACCCTACAAAAGCAGTAGCTATTACTGTAATTAGATTACTGTAATCCAGTGTTTCAGGTTTCTGGAAATGTGTACAATCCATAATAAACAGTGTCCAATGTGAAGGTACAAGAAGAGAAATATGATGCTCCATTGGCATGTAGATATTGGATCAATCAGCCGTGGTTTATGTCTTGGCAGATAATGTGTATAACCGGTGAAAATGCTGTAGTTGTGTCTGTGGTGTAATGTGCTGCTAAAAATAACCCTGGAATTATTTATAGTCTGAGGCAGATAAATATGTATGTATGTATTTTTTTTCCTTCTTCCTTTGTTCTTTCCCCTATCTCAGTTGTTCTTTCCTTTTGAGCAGTTTCTTTGTGGTCTACACACGTTCTTATTTGAACATTTTTGTCACATCTGCAGTTTTGGAAGTGGGAAGTGCTGGTCTCTAAGGACCGTGACATGCACACAACTGAGCCTGAACATGTAAACAATATGGTGGATGTCATGCACATAGTAGATCACGTCTGTGAGCATTTGGATAAGCTACTTGCAGTTCTATACCAGTTCTGCTGTTGCATTCAGCTCTAGCCCTAAGAGGAGCCAACCTGGCTTTGTATTATGGCCCATGTCCTAGGTGGGGCTTTTCAGAAGTGGCTGGATCTAGGGGGTGTGATTTACTCAATTAGTCCACTGATTCCTTTGGCAAGTTCTGGGTGTGGATGACAGGAGGGCCCAGCTGGGTGTGTGTGCTACCTGCCCTGAGGGCATGCGGTCCAATGGAATCAAAGGGACAGAAAGAGGGGAGCTGTTGTCTCTTGCTGCTACTTCATTGGTTTACTGCCTTGTACTTGCTATGAATTCTTCCTGCTCTGTGATGATACCCTCTGCTATGCTATCCTGCCTTGTAGCCAACCAACTAGGAACTGAAACTAATACAAATGGTGATTGAAATCTAATTTTGGGTGTTGGGTATTTTGTCTCGGCCATGAGAAAGGTGGCTAACACACCTTGCTTCCATCTTTCTAGGATCTGTTTGTTTTCCTGGTACTCAGGAATTTAACCCAGGGCCTTCACACTCAGCTACATTCCCATGCCCCTCAGTTTTATTTTTTTTTAACATAGGGTGTTGCTAACTTGCCCATAAGAAGCTTGGACTTGAGATCCTGGTGTGTTAGCCTCCCACAGAGCTGGGATTAAAGGCTTATGCTACTGTGCTCAACTGCTTGGGCTTCTGTGTGAAACTAAAAGCTATGCTGTGAAGACTTTAATTCACCCAGGGTTGAAAGCTGCTGAAGTTAGGAAGAAAGTGGGTGGACAAAAGCATTAAGCAATGAGATAAGAAAAAGAGAATTCCTCTCATCTTCCCCCAGGTACATTTCTGAGGCCTTCGGAGAATAAGAAAGCCACAGAAAGACAGTCATAAGAGCAAAAATACAGCCACGTGTCTCTCAAACACAAATGACAGCGCAACTAAAAATTTGGTAGAATAAGATCTTACCATAGTACGTAAGGTATTCTGCTGTGTGCAAAAATGTCAGTGAAACCAACACATTGAAAATCCAGTTTATTCCAGATGAACAGGCATTTCCTGTACTTCTTGCCCAGAGGGGATATATTTCTGAATTCACAGTCCAAGGCATTGGTCCCATCCCTGGATTGGGGGGGAGTTAGTAAAATAGCATATAAGGAATTTGAAAAATAGTAGCTTGTCTTTTCTAAAGAAACAGTTTCGCAATAATAAAAACAGCAAAGCCTTTGCTTACCAGGTGCAAAGAAAACAAGATACAAAATAAGGCCCAGAAGTGCAGTCCAGGAGTACGGCGTAGGGCAGAAATTGTAAGCCCAAAATACTTCGTCTGTTTTGAACTTGGTTTCATTTTCACATCTGAAAAATAATGCAATGTAAGTATTAGTGTTTTAGGATATAGTTGCAGAAATTAATGTGGTCACACTACATGTATTTGGAAATCCCGTAGCATATTAAGAATCCAAATTTTTTTCTGGAAATTCATAATTAAATATATAATTTCAAATATGTTAACTCAGAATATTTTAGAACTAAATATAAAGAGCAGAAATACAGTATTTCTTGGCCATTTTGTAGGAATTAAACCTTATTTCTGATTAGTCTATGGAAGCTGTTAACCCTTTAACCACTGCTAATGAAGTTGACGTTTGCGCAGTCAAGATCCAAATCCCACAAGCAGAGCGTCTGCATCTGTAGAAGAGGGATGATTCCTCGCATGCTATATTGTGGGCTAGAAGGGTCACCTGTGAAGGGTAAGAGGGCAGACAAAGGAACAAACAGTGCAGCAAGGATTCTAATTCCAATTATTATCTCCCTTCCTGTCATGTGTCTTGTTTTCCCATGAGTCACTCCTGATGACCTGGCCTCCTCATTCTGCACAGAAGCAAAGTGTTCTTAATTTAGATTAATTCTCAAGTCAAACCTAATTCTTTTTACATGTCTTGTCCCTAAAGATACTACCAGCCTCAAAAGCATCCTCTCTTATCGGTTGAGAATACATTTTTGTCCGCAACAACCTCTGAACTTTGACATCCAAGATGTAGCTTTGATAAAATGTTTTAACAAAACAATCACTGACAACCCACTTGTACTGTTACTGCTGTCTCTCATGTTCCATGTTCATTTATTTTTACTTCTGACTCATCTAATAAATTGGCCTTATAGTTCCCTAATTATTAGTAAAGTATAGCAAAGGGCATTTTATATTGGATTTGGAATACTTTACTTTAAAACATCAAAATTTGGGCATTCTTTTCCCGACTGCAGTCATTTTATTTCCTCATTTCTGATAATTTATACTATACCCAAATCATAATCTTTATGTTCCAAATTCCTGTCAGCATTCACTTACTTCATTATTCACTCAGCTTAGATCATGCTAGAATTGCCTTCTTTGGACTCTAGAATTCATGTTGTCTGGTATTTTTGTCATTTTAGTTTTCAATCTTGTGCAGTACCATTAACTTCCTCAACAATCACTTTATTGTAAATTGTCCAAAAGTTAGGAAACAGTGCTGTGAGTGTCATTAAAAGTTCATGCTATTTCTTTTTTTTGTCTTTTTCCTTTTTTTTTTTTATCGGTACCGGAGATCGAACTCACGACTGCCTGCTTCCAAAGGCAGGCGCTTATGCCGCTGAGCTAAATCCCCAGCCCCCATGCTATTTCATTTTACTGAGGTCCATTATTATCTTCTCTACTGAATTATCTACTTATTTCAGACTAGATGTTCAATAAATTTTTATTGACTGCTACCCCAATTAAAGTACATCTGACCATCTTTTAGTCCTGAGATCTTTCTCTCTTCTAAGTAAATGTATATGGTTACTTCTTAAAGAAGAATTGAGGATTTTCAATCAGAACATCAATTTTTCTGTACTCAATATTCACTATTCTATCAATTTTTGAAATCTGTATCACTCTCACAGTACCTAAGGGCTGCCTAAGGGTCTCTCTTCGCCTCTTTCCTCTGCAGTCATGTTCCTTCACTGGTACCTTTCTTCCCATCCTTAGTTTCTTTCTCCATGAGCCTTCTTTTCTGTATCCACATGATCTCATTATTCAAATGTTCACCTCCTCTCACAATAGAACCAGGTCTCCAAAAATTACATGGGTGTATATTCTCATGAGGCCTACATCCTCACTATGCACTTCTTTATAGTGTGGTTTGCTAGCATGCCCCATGCTGGCTGACTGACACAGGCTCTGTTTGCCTGAATCTGCTCTAACAAAAGCCATCTACAATGTGTTACTCTGCAATGGTGGATATCTCTGACAACCCTTCTTTTCTCTGTACTTTGCTTTTATATTTTGTCTTTCCATTATATTTGTATGATCTCCATATCTTTGTTGCTTTAAAAATACAACATCTCTTTTCATCTCAGCATCAAAAGGTGGCTTTAGGATTCTGTTTGGACCTATACCCTCTCTCATAATAATCCATCTTATTTTATGATTTTATAATCTCCTAAGTACACTTTGATAGTTGTAGCCTTGACCTCTTCCTTATGTTCAACTGATGGGATTTAGGTACGTACTGAATATTCACATCACATATATCCACATAAGATACCCTGCTGTGGCCTTAAACATCGTTATAATAAGATGCACTGTCTTTTCTTTTTGGATTTTAAAATTTTATTTGTTTTTATTTTAAAGAGAGTAAAACAAAACAGAATAAAGCAGATCAGAAGAAAAGAATGTAAATAAAACAGATTTCAAAGCAAGACAACAGGAAATCTACAGTGGCTACCAAAATGTCTCATTTTATTCTAAATAGTTGTCTATCTTCACACACAATGAATTCATACAAAACAAAATAGTACAAAACTGATCCAAACAGAGTAATGAAGGCCTTAAAGGCCTTCAAAATCAGATAATAGGAAAATCAACAATGGCTACCATAATGTCTCATGTATGTTGAAATTAAATAATACAAAACAGACTAAAACCACTCTGAACAAAGAATAAAAACATTATTGGATTTCAAAGTATGACTATACAGAATCAGCAATGGATACCATAATGCCTCTTTTTCTTCAAGGTAGCTGTTCATTTCATCATGCATAATTAATCAATTCTCACAAACTGTTTAGGAGAAGTCTAGGCATGTATAAGCCTCTACGTGTATTCCTATCCTTTCTGTATCAGAGGGAAAAACAAAACCAAACAAAACAGATTACTAGAAAAACAAGAAGCAAGCCAGGCGTGGTGGCTCATGCCTGTAATCCCAGCACTCGGAAGGCTGAGGTGGGAGGATCCTTGTGAGTTCGAGACCAGCCTGGGCTACAAAGTGAGCTCAAGGCCAGCCTGAACTGCATAGTGAGACTGTCTCAAAAAGGACACACACACACAAACATACACACACACACACACACACAAAGAAAAAGAAAAAAACAAATAGCAAAAAAGACAAATAACAATAGTAAAGAATCCAAAACAATGATGATACTGGTCTTCAAAACAAGGTGGTAGGAACATAACTAAGGTTATTTTACATAGTAATCTTCAAGAATTCCTGAGATCACCAGAAACAAACATGCAAAATTGTTCCAATCCTGTGAATGTTAAGTGTTTTGTTCTAAGAACTTACAGAAATTGTAGCACAATCATCTTAGCTATCCTAAGTGTGATTATACAAATTTAGTTATTTTTTCTTTTCCCTTCCTTCTCCGTGAGATAGTTTTCCCCCTTTGAGCAGATTCTTACCCTTTCACGGTATTTATTGAGGATTTTGTATCTTTTGTACTCTTACCATTTCTTACACTAGGGAGACAATATGGTATTTACACATGTGAGTTTGATTTACTTCACTTATGAGTATGGTCTCAAGCTGCATTCATTTATTTACAAAAATCTCAATGTGATCATTCTTCATGGCCGAGTAGAACTCCATTGTATAAAAGAACCACATCTTTTTTATCCATTCCTCAGTTGATGGCCATTTAGGTTGTTTCCAAGATCTGGCTATTACAATTGTGCTGCTATAAACATGGGTATACATATATCACTGTGGTGTAATGTTTTCAGTTCTTCCGGGAATATGTCCAGAAATGGAATAGCAGGATCAAATGAGACTTCCAACCCCAGCTTTTTGAGGAACTTCCACAGTTTTTGCACCAGTATGCACTCCCACCAACAGTGGCAGGAGAGTTCCTTTTTCCTTGTAGCCTCTCAAGCATTTGTTGTTGGTAGATTCCTTGATCTTGGCCATTCTTTCTGGAGTGAGATGGAATCTCAGTGTGGTTTTAATTTGCATTTTCCTAATGACCAATTATGCTGAACATTTTTTCACGTATTTATTTGCCATTTGTATTTCTTCATCTGAAAACTGTGTATTCATCCTAGATGCTAATTTTTGGATTGGGTCTTTGAATTTCGGGGTTCTGATTTTTTTTTTAAAAATTCTTTAATATGTTCTAGATAGAAGTCCTTTGTCTAAGAGACAGTTAAGTAAGATTTTTTCAACATTCATGGGTTTCCTTTTTACTCTGCTGGAGATTTCTTTTGACATGCAGAAACTTTTTAATATGGCAAGATCCCAGTTATTCTGGGAAGTATTTCCCATGCAGTTTGATTTTTGTTCATTAATTTTCTACCTACCCCTATGTCTTCAAGATTTCTATCTCCTTTGTCTTCCAACAGGTTTAGTATTTAGATCTTTGATCCATTTTGATTTTAGCTTAGTATATGGTGATAGACAAGGGTCTAGTTTTAGCTTTCAACACATGGAGAGCCAGTTTTTCCAACACCATTTATCAAAGAGACTATCTTTCTTCCAGTGAACATGTTTGGCCTCTTTATCAAAGATAAGGTGGCTGAGTGTGTTTGTACTTGTAGTTGTATCTTCTAATCTATTCCATTCATCTTCAGGTCTGTTTTTATTCCAGTACCATGCTGATTTTATCACAGTAGCTTTGTAGTATAACTTCCAATCAGGGATTGTGATGCCTCCTGGCTTGCCTTTGTTGCTTAGAATTGCCTTTGCTATTCTAGGTCTTTTCTGATGAATTCGAAATGAATTTAAGAATGATTCTCTGGATCTGTGAGACATGCTAATGGTACTTTGATTGGAACTGCATTAAATCTGTATTATAATTTTGGGAGAAAGGTCATTTTCACAATATTTGTTTTTCCTATCCATGAACAAAGAATGTCTTTCTGAGATCCTCTTCAATTTCTTTTATCAGGGTATTACAATTTTCCCTGAACAGATCTTTTATTTCTTTTGTTAGATTAATTCCTAAGTATTTCATTTGGGATGAAATACTAAATATTTGGGATGCTACTGTAAGGGTGTAGCTTCTCTCACTCTCAGTGAGTTTGTGTATTAGAATGCTATTGATTTTTGAGTGTTGAG